GGAGAGAGAGAGAGAGAGGGAGAAGGGAAGGGAGGGAATAAATAAAGAGAGAGATAGAGAAAAGGAGGAAAAAGGGAAAGGTAGAAAGAAAGAAGGTAGAAAAAAGAGGGCAAAAGAGAGGGAGAGAAAAAAAGAAGAAAGAAAAGGAAGGGAGAGAACAAAGGTGGAGAGGAAAACTGAAAAGAGGGAAACACCTGGGAGAAAGGGAGGGACCAAACGAGAGATTGACAGAAAGAGGAAAAAGGCAGAAAATGGAAGATATGGAGAAGAGGATGAGAGAGAAGAAAGGAGGAAAGAGAGATGGGAGTGAGGAACAAATGAGGGAGAGTAAATGAGAGAGAGAGAGAAGGGAAAGAGAGAGTGGGAAAGGAAAGATGACAGGGGGGGGGGAATGGGGAGAGAAAGAAGAAAGAAATAGGAAAAAGGAAAAAATGAGAGAGAGAGAAGGGAGGGAAGACGTGAAGAAAAAGAGGAAGAAACGTAAAGGGAGGAGAAGAGAAAGAAAAGAGTAAAGGAGAGTTGAGAGAAGGAGAAAAGTGAGAAAAAGAAAAAGATGAACGAAGGGAGAAAAAGAGATGGGGAGAGAAGAAAAATGACAAAGAGAGAGAGGGAGAGAAGGGAATGGGAGGAAAGAGAAAGAAGAAAAGGGAGGGGAAAGAGAAGGAGGAAAGAAAGAGAGAAAAGAGAAAAAGACAGGAAAGAAGAGAGAAAAGAGAAAAAGACAGGAAAGAAGAGAGAAAGAGAGATAGGGAGTGAGGACAAAATGAGAGAGAGAGAGAGAGAGAGAGAGTCTGTGTGTGATCACTGTGCTGTCGGTGCTGTGATGGACAACCTGCTGCACTGACCAATAACACCTGATGATGAGATACACACTCTCTCTCTCTCCCTCTCTCTCCCTCTCTCTCTCCTCTCTCTCTCTCTCTCTCTCTCTCTTTCTCTCTCTCATTCTCACTCTCATGCTCTCCCTCTCTCTCTCTCATTCTCTCTCCCTCTCTCTCACTCTCATTCTCAATGAAGCGCTATGTTGTCAGGACTGTGTTTAAAAGCCCCCTCTCCCTCCCTCCCTCTCTCTCTCTCTCTCTCTCTCTCTCTCCCTCCCCCCTCTCTCTCTCTCTCTCTCTCTCTCTCTCTCTCTGAGTGGTCTTTGTTTCCTGTGAGACGGTCGGGGACGTGGAGGCCTTTTCATTTCACGCTCGGCTCCTTTAGTATCACTCATTTGTTTTCCTCTTTTTAAATTACATGTGAAATGAGGTTCTATTTGTTGTGGCCAACAAAAGTCAGGAGGTTTTACATTTTCTCTGCATGTCATTATGAACGAACACACAAAGAGTGAACAGGCGGCCGGATGCATTAAAGTGACAGTTCACCAAAAACTCAGATTTTTATCCTCTTTCACCACAATACAGTCAGTCAGCATGTTTGATGCTACAGCAGTCTACAGCAGTTTAGCCCCACCATTCAGTCTACAGCAGTTTAGCCCCACCATTCAGTCTACAGCAGTTTAGCCCCACCATTCAGTCTACAGCAGTTTAGCCCCACCATTCAGTCTACAGCAGTTTAGCCCCACCATTCAGTCTACAGCAGTTTAGCCCCACCTTTCAGTCTACAGCAGTTTAGCCCCACCATTCAGTCTACAGCAGTTTAGCCCCACCCATTCAGTCTACAGCAGTTTAGCCCCACCATTCAGTCTACAGCAGTTTAGCTCCACCATTCAGCTACAGTAGTTTAGCCCCACCATTCAGTCTACAGCAGTTTAGCTCCACCATTCAGCTACAGCAGTTTAGCTCCACCATTCAGCTACAGCAGTTTAGCTCCACCATTCAGTCTACAGCAGTTTAGCTCCACCATTCAGCTACAGTAGTTTAGCCCCACCCATTCAGGCTATAGTAGTTTAGTACTACTACTACTACTACTACTAATAATAATAATAATAATAATAATGATAATAATAATAAATCTATGACCAGTACTATCATGACTTGTGATAAATTAGATGCCTCTGTGTTTTCACTCACACACAGTCAGCATATAAGAGTTTGTAGAAGTGTGTGCTGTAGTTATTCTGCAGTGTGTTTGGTTGTTGTTACTAAAGCAGCTTCAGTTCAATTCAGTGTGTGTGTGTGTGTGTGTGTGTGTGTGTGTGTGTGTGTGTGTGTGTGTATGTGTGTGTGAGAGGCAGCAGGCCAGACACTAAGCGTTCAAACAGGCTCGCCTGAGCTGGCTAATTAACTACAACAAATGGGGAACGCTGGAGCCATCTGGAGTGGCAAAGAGAAGGTGTGTGAGTGTGTGTGTGTGTGTGTGTGTGTGTGTGTGATCTCTCCGCTCAGCAGCGCCATGGGTGAAGAACATCTCGCAGAACATCTTACTACACCATAAAACCCAACACTGAGGAGTTTATGTACAAACTCAGAAACATCCCAAACACAGACACTCTGTGAGTTTATGCAGTGCATTGTTGAGGTGTTAAAGGGAAACTCCACCAATCGTGCAGAAATGTAGAAAAACTGGGTGTTTGAGATAACAGAGTGATCCAGAGTGGTTTGGTATGAAATGGTTCAGATGTCTTTACAGTGGTGGTGATAGGAACCAGGGGTCGCCATGACTACAACACAAATATAGACATTTTATTTACTATCCAGAACCACCAGTGAACCTACACGAGTCTTCTGAGTTTATATGGAATGTTGATGATGGAAAATAGTGGAAAATCTGAAATAGTAAGTTTTCTTTGGGGACTATTTTGCCTCACAGCACCTTGCATATTATGTATCCCTCCACCATGAATGGAGTTGAAGGCCAAAATCTTCTCAAAACTATCATAAAACAGTGTCTCAGTCATCAGTGAATTCATAACCATTTCATGTAGGAACTTTCTGTGAGGGAGCTTTTAGAGGTGGACGTCTGGTTCCTATCACCACCACTGTGAACAGTTCTGACTCTGTGAGTTTCTCTAGAACGGAGCGTTTCACACCAAACCACTCTGACTCTGTTTACATCTCAACCATTTAATCATGCAGGAATTTTTAGAAATGTTTTGGAATCAGTGGAATTTGCCTATTAAGTGATCTCTAATAATCTTGACTGTGGTTTCTGATACTGTTCTGTTTTTAGCTGAGTGCTAATGTTACTTAGTCCATGTTTATAGATAATAGTGTGTCACGCAGTGTAAGAATCCACGTAATCTAGACTGTTAGAGATACTGAACACCTCCACACACTTTGAGGTGAGTGCATGAGAATTAGACATACAGTTAACACCATGCCAATTACCAACATAAGCTTATGGCACTGTTCCACCGCTTGGGACAGGTCAGCTCGACTCAACTCCGCTCGACTCTACTCGCTTTTGGTTCAGCTACTTCATTTTCCGCTGTAGATATAGTGCCCCCTAATGTAGCTGGTAGTCATAGCAACACCACATGAAGCTGCCGTGACGTGGAGGCTGATGGCAGCGAGACAAGAGAGAGTTTGGGAAACAAAGTTCAGATGACGAGATGATTCTGGTGCTCAAGAGGCTGCGCTAACCTGGTTAGTGTATGTGTTTAGGGTGACGGTGACGATTCTCTTCAACCAATCAGCAGTCTGCAGTTTTTCCGTATCACTTTTTGGTGAAACCAAAAATAGTACCAGGTGCCGGATTCACAAAGAATTTCTTAAGAAAAAACTTCCGAAGGTTCTTAAGACAAACATTAAGAAGTTCATAAGGATGTTCTTAAATGCAGTTTATTAAAAAACTTTCACATTTTATTTTTTTCCCCAGATAAAGCAAATGGAGGCATTTTTGCAGTGTAAACACCATGAAGACCTACAGGGGTTAATAAAGGCAGCCACAAACTGCTCGTTTCTCGTTTCGCACCAACATTTATGTCGAATAGAAAAGCCCTCAAAATCCGGCTGCCAGGCAGCTCCCTGTCCTCCAAAATCCTCGATTCGGAGACGAATCCCTGCCACTGCATAACAGAGCGAAAGAAAAAAACATCCAGTGGCCTCTGTTTGTCAGGAGAATTTCAATCAAGATGGATGTGTTAAAGTATGCAGTGTCTGCACTGTGTGTGTGTGTGTGTGTGTTTGTGTGTGTGTATGTGTGTGTGTTTGTGTGTGTGTATGTGTGTGTGTTTGTGTGTGTGTGCGCCAAACGCAATCTCGCTTTAGACCCAGACACACACTGATAGACTCGAGAACCATCTGGATGGTCTGCTGTCCTGTAATGATTTGGCATCAGCCATGAATTTGTGACAGATAGAGTGTGTGTCCGTCTAAGAGTGTGTGTGTGTGTGTGTGTGTGTGTGTGTGTGTGAGTGTGTGTGTGTGTGTGTGTGTGTGTCATCCTGTGTATTTTGAGTTTATTGTGATGGAACTGTTTGTTGGTGTTTGTTTAACTTGGAACAGTTACTCACTTTAACTTTATTGCAGCTCTTCATTAGAGCTGCAACATGTTCTGCTGATCAACTTTTACTGGCCGCTTTATTAGAAACACCGACCTTGTGCTTCCACTCACTGGCCAATTTATTAGAAACACCTACCTAGTGCTTCTACTCACTGGCCACTTTATTAGAAACACCCACCTTGTGCTTCCACTCACTGGCCACTTTATTAGAAACACCTACCTAGTGCTTTCACTCACTGGCCACTTTATTAGAAACACCTACCTAGTGCTTTCACTCACTGGCCACTTTATTAGAAACACTTAGCTTGTACTTCCACTCACTGGCCACTTTATTAGAAACACCTACCTTGTACTTCCCTTAACGGGCCACTTTATTAGAAACACCTATCTTGTACTTCCCTTAACGGGCCACTTTATTAGAAACACCTACCTTGTACTTCCCTTAATGGGCCACTTTATTAGAAACACACACCTTGTGCTTCCACTCACTGGCCCATTTATTAGAAACACCTTCCTTCAGATGGATGATTAATGTAGAATGATCCTCAGAACTCTTATCTTTCCCAGTGTAAAGATCTTTATCCTTAAGCATAGCATTTGTCTTTCCTCAGAACCCCCGAGGCCTATCGCTCCACCTCAGCTGCTGGGCGTGGGGCCGACGTATCTTCTCATCCAGCTCAATGCCAACTCTATCTTCGGCGATGGCCCCATCATCCTGAAGGAGGTGGAGTACCGCATGACCTCCGGAACATGGACTGAGATCCACGCCGTCAACTCGCCAAACTACAAGCTTTGGCACCTGGACCCAGATACTGAGTATGAGATCCGGGTGCTGTTGACCCGGCCGGGCGAGGGGGGCACTGGGCAACCTGGACCAGCTCTTATTACACGGACGAAATGCGCAGGTAGGTTTCTCGATGTTATGAGTAGGGCCAAAAACATACATCACGCAAGAATGCACATGCGCAGGCATCGTTTTATTTATTGCGCTCTCAAATGTGTCACAACACAGTGTTGCAGCAGAGGGCGCTATAGCAACAGCCAAGCCTGGCCAAACTATCTCATACCACCAGCGTGCTTTCATCCAGTTAGATGTCAGGGCAGACCAGCGGTTTGACAAGCTTGTATAAACATATGAATCATCATCGCATCTTTATTTTAATAAAACAAATAATGTTCATATGATCCACACAGTCACTCTGACAGACTGTCATACACTACAGGAAGCGTAGGGGGCGATATGGCTTCTACTGTTTCATTTAAAAAGCCTCTATAATGTTCATATGATCCACACAGTCATTCTGACAGACTGTAATACACTACAGGAAGTGTAGGGGGCGATATGGCTTCTACTGTTTCATTTAAAAAGCTCTATAATGTTCATATGATCCACACAGTCACTCTGACAGACTGTCATACACTACAGGAAGCGTAGGGGGCGATATGGCTTCTACTGTTTCATTTAAAAAGCCTCTATAATGTTCATATGATCCACACAGTCACTCTGACAGACTGTAATACACTACAGGAAGTGTAGGGGGCGATATGGCTTCTACTGTTTCATTTAAAAAGCCTCTATAATGTTCATATGATCCACACAGTCACTCTGACAGACTGTAATACACTACAGGAAGCGTAGGGGGCGATATGGCTTCTACTGTTTCATTTAAAAAGCTCTATAATGTTCATATGATCCACACAGTCACTCTGACAGACTGTAATACACTACAGGTTCAGGTTTGAGTCTGAGAGGGTTAAGAGCTGCTGTGATTACCTATTTGCTGCTTTTGTTTTGTTTCTTTTTCGTTGTTTTTGCTGCGATTCCTCCGAGCGTGTGGCGGTTTATTTGCATATAAATAATTGCCGGGGGTCCTGAGGGGGGCTCTCAGAGGGGCGTAATTGGAAAAAGTGAGAGTGAATAATGGCTGTGCCGCTGATACCCGGACAGCGTGAGTCCGGACACCGCGGTCCTCCATCGCTCTGGGTTGCCATGGCGTCTGCGCTGCCGTGGCGCTGGGAGGGCGAGGATAGATTCACCATTCGCATGTGGAGACACGGACGGAGAGATTGAGTTTGAGAGGAGAGAGACGAGAAGGGAGTGATGAAGGCTGAGAGAAAGAGAGAGAGAGATGAAAACAGAGGGGAGATAGTGATGAAGGTTGAGGAGAGAGAGGGAGAGACAAATATGAAGATGGGAGAGAGGGAGAAAGATAATGAAGGAGGGAGTGCGAGAAAGATGAAGAATGAGGAGAGCAAGAGAGAGAGAAATGAAAAATGTACTTTTCTCTTCTCTCTATACCTCTCTCTTCTTTCTCTCTCCTTCACCCTTTGCCTCTCTCTCTCTCTCTCTCTCTCTCTCTCTCTCCCTTCTCTCTCTCCCCATCCTGTTCCTCTCCTCTCTCTCTCTCTCTCTCTCTCTCTCTCTCCCCCTTCTCTCTCTCCCTTCTCTCTCTCCCAATCCTGTTCCTCTCCTCTCTCTCTGTCTCTCTCTTCCTTTTCTCTCTCTCCTTTCCTCGTCCTTCCTTTTCTCTCTCTTTCTGTCTCTCTTTCACTCCTTTCTCTCTCTACCACCCTTCTCTATCCCCTCTCTCTCTCTCTCTCTCTCTCTCTCTCTCTCTCTCTCTCTCTCTCTCTCTCTCTCTCTCTCTCTTACTTTCTCTCTCTCTGTAGATGGGAATTTATGCATTTTGGGGGTCTTTGGGGTCTTGGGGGCTTTTCCTGTTTCAGGTGGAGAAACTCTTTCATCTCTGCATCCAATAACTTGCTTATCTCCCCTCACACACGTGCAGGACCACCGCATTTACTCATTTACACTCAAACCAGCCCACCACTCACATGCTCACACACTCACACACTCGCCATTAACACACACACACACACACACACACACACACACACACACACACACCTCGTCTGCGGAGCCAGCTCTGCTTTTATTTTGTCTGAGGAGGTTGGACGATAATAAAAATGTAGACCACCGATAATCGCCTGCAGCTTTATCATAATAAACAATATTATCTTTATCCATATTAAAGCTCCACATGTGAGTGTTACAGTCTTTAACCTACAGCTCACATGTTTTAGCCTGTGTAATATCAGGACTGACCCAAATAGCGTTTTATAGGCTTCGAACACTGATGCTGATGTTTCCAAACGACTTCTCAGTGCGTCTCTGAAACTGCCCATGTCCTCAGTGTGTCTCGTATTCTTGTCCACTTATGACATTTGTGTGGGTTTCTGTACGAAAATAGTCATGATTCATGTTTACATGACTGTTTTCTAGCCTCTCTTTATCTTTAAACAGGCTGTCTTTAAGACTGATGTATGTAAATGAGGTCTGTTCTGATTGGCAGTGCCTCGTTCAAAAAGCAGTCCTATCTGGTGGCTAGTTGTGGTAGATGATAGGTACTTGGTGGTTTGTTTTGGGGTAGTTAGTGATTAGTTGAGGTAGCTGGTGGTTTGTGAGGGTAGTTGGTGGGAAGGGCTTGTGTACTTGGGGGTAGTTGGGGTATAGTTGTGGTTTATTATTTTGGTTGTTCAGTGTGCTGGGAAGGTTGGTGGGTAGTTTGGGTGTGTTTGAGGGATTGTTGGGGTAGTTGGTGGGAAGTTGTGGTGTAGTTGGGGTGTATTTGGGTGGATTGCTGAGGTTGTTGGGGTAGTTGATGGGCATTTGGGATGTGTTTGGGGGTTGTTGGGGTAGTTGTGGTGTGTTTGGGGAGTTGTTGGGATAGTTGGTGGATAGTTGGGGTGTATTTGGGAGGTTGTTGGGGTAGTTGGTAAGTAGTTGATGGGTAGATGGTGGGTAGTTGGGAGGGAAGTGGTTGTGTACTTGGGGGTAGTTGGGGTGTTGTGGGTGGTTGGTGGGTAGGTGAGGTGTATTTGGGGGGATTGCTGGCGTAGTTGTTGGGTAGTTTGGTTGTATGTGGGGGATTGCTGGGGTAGTTGGTACTCAAAGGGTAGAAAATAACATAGAATCACTTTATAATTTCTTTACAAAGTGATTCTGTGTTACTTTCCACGCTTTGAGTCAGAGAAAAGAAGCTAAACTGAGGCGGTGAGCTGATGTGAACAGCCAGCTGCCTTACTAACTTTAGCTTTAAGCTTCTTCATCTGAATCCTTTCTGCCGTTTGACTAATCTGTTCTCTCCACTGTAATGATGAGTTAAAGGCAGTCACAGTGAAACAGCTGCAATAAGTAGTTTGGCTTCCTGTTAGTAACGTTAGCTATCAGGATACCTTCTGCATTTACCAGCTAACGAAAAGAGCAGCCGCGAAAAACAACCCCAGAGCAGTTGTAGTGTTTCCTAGTCTTCAGAATTAGACTGCAGTCTACTTTAAAAATCAGTTTCACTTCAGTATTTTAGCTGTTTTTGCCATGTAAATTTTAACGCTCAGTGTCACGTTTACTTGAGCACCTTTAGCCACTTTTATCATGTAAACTATAGCATTCAATGTCATGTTCACTTTAGCATTGCTAGCATCACCTTTAGCATGTAGCCTTCAGTGTCACTTTTAGCTTTTATCCCTTGACATTAAAATAGTTTTTAGCCTTTCGGCCTTTAGCGCTCTTTCCAGCGTCAGTTTGAGCTTCAGTTGTAGCCGTTAGCGTCATGTCGCTGCAGTGTTATGTCGCATCATGTCAGCACTCGTCTGAGTGTTGTATCCCCATGTGTGCGTTAGCCTGAGGCAAGGATATCACACCACAGCTCTCTCTCTCTCTCTCTCTCTCTCTCTCTCTCTCTCTCTCTGTCCATCTTCCTTTCCTTCTCTCTCTCCCTCTCTCTGTCTCTGTCAATCTCTCTCCCTCTCTTTCTCTCTCCAACACACCTGAGACCCATTGCCACGGGTCATTCTTTGACAGCAAAGAAAAGAAAATAGTCTCTCTTTCTCTCTCTCTCTCTCTCTCTCTCTCTCCCTCTTTCGTCCCTCGCTCGCTCCTGCCATTTGGACAGCCGTCTAGAGAGCATTAGCGAGGCGCGAGAACCTGAAACGCCGCCGCGTGAAAGAAACCAGCACGTCCATCTCCAGTCATTTGAATAAGTTGAATAAAATGTAATTACGGCCCAAATAGTCACTTAAGCTCCGAGGCCTCGAGTTAAATTCCTCTGTGTGCGCCTGAGAGAGAGAATGAGGGAGATAACAGGCTGGAAAACGCAGAGGACGGAGCTGAAGTCTGCTCGAAATGCTGTTTCTGAATTTTTAGCAAAGAAAGTAAACTTTGTCTTTGTTGTCGGGGCGGTCGTTCGTGCCCAGAGGCTCGCTGTGTGATAACACTGATCTTATAAGGGGGATGAGTGAGTCTGGGTGATGAAACGATAACGATAATCATCAAAATGTAACATTTTTATACCGATAATGCACATTTAATATACTCTGTGTCTGACAGTTTGTAGTGTTTCTTCAAGTGAACTGCCCTCCCTTTACTGCAGTAACAGCCACTACTCTTCTGGGAAGGCTTTACACTAGATATTGAACATTGCTGTGAGGATTTGATTGAGCATTAGTGAGGTCAGGTACTGATGTTGGATGGTCAGGTACTGGATAGAGCTCCATCACTCAGTTCCACAGCTCCACAGCCCAATGCTGGGGGGCTTTATACCCCTCTAGTCCACGCTTGGCATTGTGCATGGTGACTTTACGTAGCTGGTGGTTATTGGTCTTTAAGTAACGGGTGGTCTGGGTAGTTGGTGGGTAATTGAGGGGGTAGTTGGTAGGTTGGGGTAAAGTTGGTAGGTAGCTGGTGTGGTCAGGGGTAGTTAGTGGGTAGTTGGGGTGCAGTTGCTGGGTAGTTGTGGTGTAGTTGGGTTGTAGTTGGTGGGTAGTTGGGGTGTAGTTGATGGGTATTTGGGGTGCAGCTGGTCGGTGGTCGGGGTAGTTGGTGGATAGTTGGAGTGTAGTTGGGTTT